TGAATTGAAGTATCCATTGAGATATGATGCCACGCGTGAAGGGCTCAAACGGCAATTTTCAGCGAGAGTTGAAGTCAACCCGAAACCCTACAAGACCGCTGTTTGGCCAAAAATGTCGGCTAAACCGGTAAGAAAAAAAAATATACAGTACAGTAGCACAGATTATTTAGCCAAGCAAATTGAAAAGTCTCCTGTCTATAATAACAAATATAGCCGTCCTTTAACTGAGTAAGGGACTAACACAATTACGACGACTATATTATTTTGATCTTAGACGTGGTCATCGAACTTGGCCTGCCTTTTTGGGTGACAAGAAAGTTGAGCGCACCCAAGACGCATTTTCAGGCGATGCTAACACACTAGACGTCTGTCGCTCAAATCTGCTTACGTTCTGATTGCCTCTTTCACCGAGGTACTGAACGTTGGAGCTCGTCTTCGCTGGTGGTCTCCAGCTTAGGAATCACAAACGCAATGCAATATCGCTTTACTTGTCGCAAGGCCGCATCTATGACCACATAAAACATTCCTTAATTAAAGAGACATTTTTTCTGTCCCAAACTTACGGATTTGGATGCTCAGCATTGTGATCACAAAGCCGAAGCCGACTTTCCTTCAGTAGTGCTCCGTTGTACATTTGGAGAATATAACTCACTTGCGCAATTTCAGTGCAGACGGGCGCCTCTAGGCGAACAATTAATATTCCTTCGACCATTTGGCCGCCGATATTTTAATCAAATTGGATTCACGATTAAAACAAGGACTTTAAGCTTGTCTATTTGTCCCCAGGGTCGGTACTTTAGTATTTATGCATAATCATCACAAAGGAAATAGCTCTTTTACGCCTCGGACATAGAAATAGCTGCCAGTAGTACACCTTGAATCGAATTTACCGTGCACATTGCAAAAAAAAGTCTGACTCTCAGATCCTGCGTTAACAAAATGCACAGTTGTTGAGTTTGTGCGCTTCAACCTAAAGTAAAACTGAAAATTTCAAGGTAACAAACACAGTTAACTTGATCTAGGAGTTCAAAAGTACAAATAACAAAGATCTATTCTAATAAGGTTTTAAAATAAATATAAACGTTATACTTCTATCATATAAAAACTGTCTTTCACTTCTAACGCACGTCTACCATCCCGCGTCGAACTTGGTTGGTTTCTGCTTTGGAAAGCGACTTATGCGTGGTAATAGAAAATCTTTAAGCTTGTCAGCAATGTCGTCTTGCCCGTCCAGTCTCAATGTGGCGACTTGTCATACATGGGCAAATATTGCGCAACAATGTAGTCGTCGTCACTGCTTCAACCCTAAACGCCTCGGTCAAGCCAGCATATTCCAACATACAGAGTGAAAATCCCTTCGTCATTCCCCTCATCCTCTCAGCCATGCTAACCTGGAAAATTGTGAAAAAATACGTGGATACATCGACACTTTCAGAACTCATCTCGCACGACGTGTATTCGCCAACGTTGTTAATTTGAAGAGTCTTGGCAACCTTGCCCGTCTGTGGGTTTGCGTACGCAACAAGCTCAATGAACTTGTAGTCCACTTCCACTTGCATTAGATCAGATACACGACAATATGTGAGGCTTCTCGTTAAAAAGCATCACGTGTTTGCAACTGGGAGTGGGACCACATACACATTTTCTAGTATGTGTATGGCCTAACTGAAGGAGGATTTCATAACGCTCGTTCAATTTTGTTCATCAAATACATAAGCATTACAGAGCTTCGAATTATTGACTGGCGTCAAGTCAATGCCAATACTGTATTTCTCTTTAACGGTAATCATGACCAATGTAACCTCAGAAGTATGAACTGGTCATCTCGATGAGCTGTTCACATTTGCGTAGTCGGCCCTTGTTGGCGTCATGCAGAGCTTGAACAATAGAAAAAAACGCGAGCATTCAGCTTTAATCCTTTCTAGTGCGTCGGAATGCTGCTATTGCTTTCGAAGGTGACCAAGTTGACATCTCTTATTAAACGTACATCGTGGAACAGACTGCGCCAAAGTCTTGAAGTGTGCCGTCAAGTCGTACCCCTTATTACACTTTGGGGTTATTTCGGTCTATTTCTCGTTCCTCTTGGCGATATGCCTTTGCTTCATCCACGCCATGGCCTGTCAGGTCCACGTTCACAAGTAAGTTTGTTCTGAAATTCAACATGCACTCCCTTGAGTTAGTCATATGCTGCTTCACACCCAAGTTGACCGGCCACTTCTTACTTGATATGGTGGTGTAGCGCTACCACCAAAATCCCACAGCGCGCGATATCAGCGCTTTGCAGGTTAAAATCGTCCCGCACTCGTGTCGATACGCGCTAGGCACATTGCTATCTAGTACACATGCTCTACTACATAATATAAGGAATCCGTAGCTTTGACCGCCGCTTGTCGTCGCTTGCGCCGACCATTGTGCACGAACACAAATGCTTTACCCTAGTAGTGCGCGGCTCCTTCGACATGCCTCCTGTTTATGCGCTTCATGTCCTGATGAAATGGCTATAACCTCGCAAGTTTCCACGCTTGCAAGTCAGCTCTCAGCTACAATCAAGCAATTTTAGGAGGGGTACAAATCGCTGAGATCGAAACAAAGCATAATTTCTGCATCATTTTCCCTGACCAGAGCGCTCGCAGCATCGAGCTGTTCTGCAAACGTCATGACCTCATAATGTGCTGGAGCGAATCTTCACCTGTGACCATCATTGTCGTGACGAAGCACAAGCTTGCTGATTAATCTCTTCATCTTGACGTGCGATTCCACATGCGACCATGTGGCATGCGCACTGTCAGCAGATTGAACCAAAGGCAACCGAAAAACCTTTTTTTAGTAAGTGAGATGTTCACCATGGCCTGTCAGAGTATAAAAGATTGACCGTACACAAGTCATATTTGCGTAGCACCAATTACTTTTATGTGTGGAAGTTTGTATTGTTGAACGGCTGGGGGCGATGAAAATTAATCCATATAGTATCGAGGGAGGTGTTGCAGTCAAACGCAGAGGGCGCGGGGCTTGGACTCATAGCGTATAGAGTAGATTACCTGAACAGAAATAATAAAATAAAGAGTGGATTATCTGGTTCTTCATTTGTTAGATAGCTTCTACTTTAAGCCCATTTCTGGAAATCCCGTCGTCTATTATATATTGGTATCTGACCGGTGTAACATTGTTTTCTTGTCTTCAACATACAGGCATCGTATTTCGTGTAGACAGCATGAGCAGAATGGTTCAACTCGCTGCTGTCAGCGATTGTTTGACCGTTGAGGATGAAGCCAAGCTGTTTTCGACGAAAGGTTTATCAAACTTCGTTCGCTGATAGCTATGTATCAGATACCAACCCGCATTTTACGCCAAAAATTCGGCATAAATTTCTCTCAGGGCTTGGCACTTGATGAAATACATCAACCATTAACCACCTGCTAGCAGATAGTCAGACGAAACGCATGTATCGCGTCATGGCTTATCGTCCGAAGCACTCACGCACAAAACTGCAGAGGTGAAGCAGGTTGCTTCTTCTCATTAAGCACACGCTGAATAAAATAGTATTTGCCTCCAAAGGTTTTAACTTCTCTCATATAAATGTCTTGTTAAGCTCTCGAATGTCGCTGACTCCGCCACGAATTGACTGCAGATTTGGGGGTTGTCTGTCAAATCGACTTGCTATAATTAACCAGATTACACTTGGTGGGTTTATTTTGATGAGCTACAAGGTCATATGCAAGCTGCCTAGCGCTAAGGCTGAGAGAAAATACGAACAAAAGCAGCACGCTGATAACAGAGAAGGCAGAATACGCACGAATACGGTGCGTTATTGAAAGCAATAAACTTTCCACATATGCAATGTATGCGGTTTTCAAGACATCCAGTATTCTACGTGGGCTTACTCAAGCCACACCACAACTTTATATTTACTGATATTGAGCACACATGGCCTTGAAATACATTAGACATGCATTGCTTCGCGTCAAGCCATTGTCGGCGTAGCTGCCGCTTTAGAGAGATGCAATGAACAAGACATCCAGTATTCTACGTGGGCTTACTCAAGCCACACCACAACTTTAATCACTGTTGAGATATCGCCGAAATTTTCAGAGTATTTCGACCTCCGCCGGTACTGCCCGATGAGCAAGAGGTGGCCCACTACCGCGTGGCATATTTGGTTTCTCGGCGGGTACATCAATGCATTTATTAGTATATGGGGGTGTGTGGAAGCAAAATTCTCACCCAAAAACAAATAGAATTTTGAAATTCCGCCCGGGTAAGCTTACCACGGTGCCGTGGTCATATTTGAACTTACACCATCGTCATTTATATTCCTTGATGAAGTGGTTGGTCAACCGTCGTTGTGCGTAGCCTGAAACTACCTTGCAATGAGGAAAGCCTTTGGTAAGTCGCTGTAACAGGTGTCTCACCAGATGAGCAGAGCTTTAAACAGCAGGAACTGGAGGTAATAAGTAATTTGTTTGACGTTCGCGCCGTCTTTCAGACTTTGCAAAGTCAAAGATGAGTCGACGCTCTAGTCATATATCCGCTTCGATGGAAATGTGAGGTCTGAAGCTCGCCGGGCCGAAGCGTCTTCCCAGCGGATTCGAAGCATCTGAAGATGCTCGCCGCGCTAAGCTGAAGCCCTCAACACCTGTACATACAGGCTATCAGCTGACACCGATGGACTGTTTCGCAAAGAGAAGAGGACATTGGAAAAGCTTGGTCTTTCATGAGAGATTTAGTATCGATACCATAACTTGGCAAGAGTGCAATTAAATACAATACTCACTTTGTGCGCAATTTCACGTAATGATCTGGACAAAAGTCAATGTGGCTTTACGCTAGCAAAAGAGCAAGTCAGTCTCGTTGCTGACGAGCTTTGCATTGTCGTGGGCCCGCGGCAGGGTATCGCAACGCAACGCTTCTCCTCAATAAATAAGACGCAAAGTACATAAATCGTGCAGAGCTGTGGCTGATCATAGACAAATTATTCTTTTGAGAGACAGCCAGGCTGCGAGTGAAGGCTGTGCTGTCAGGTGGGCCTTTTAAAACCAATTCACATCCTCACCAAAGATAACTCCAAGACCATCGATCTAGAGGAAAGAACCTCTTCCGAAAGCTCGACGCTCAATGAGTATCAAAAGTAAAACGAAGGGTGAAGAAAGGCTTTAAGTGCTATGGCTGCTCGCTGATCGGTCGCTTTCGCGCAGTGTCTTAGAATGATAAGAAATGTGACCCCAGTAAGGGTCACGTCTTGTTGGGGAAGAGTGTTATGGCGTACGTGATTTAATTTATTTTTACACCTTACAATTTAAGTACAATTGGACTAAACTATCACTGAACAGTTGTACAATATCACATATCAGTTGTGTCGAATAAAAGATGTTCAAAAGTGTCAGAAATGTCGGCATTTCTAAAGACAATATGACTCTGTGAAGGAGGTACGTGGTACAAGTGAGCTGCTAGCCGGATGTCGAGTGATAAAAACAGTTTATCATGTTATAGGGTTAGCCATATGGTGTACAATTAGTCATTATAAATCTAATACCAAATAAATGCCAATCATAGAAGAGCAGAGTAGAAAACTAGCTCGTTTCTTTAGAGGCTCATGATTTTGCCTCTAGATGAAGCATACGGGCCCATCGCCAATGAGTTTGTCGGCGCGTTTTTTTAGTCGAAGTTTTTTGTGCAACGAGCACGGCAACCCTGTCGCACTTATGTAGTGCGGATCCTCAATAACAACAGTGCTGGTATGCTGGTCGATTGCTAAACTCAGTTTGTACCGCACCCTATATTGGTGTGCTCAGGTACCAACGGGGTACGTGGACTACGTGCGAGAGTAAAGGAAACCCAAGAGACGCGATGGCAACTGACGCTATTCCAGCGTCAGGAACTGTTAACGTATGCATGGAGGGTCATCGTACCCGTGTCGCCCCAGAACAAAACCTTTCGTAATTGGCAAACATTTTATATCAGAACGGCTAGTGTTGCATCAAATGTGAGCACCTAAATTCCATTTTACAATAGTGCAGGGGAAAGAGGAGTACTCGTGGACTATCTGTAGTGCTGCAGAGACGATGATCCTTAGCCAGGCTGAATATGAAAAGATAGCTACTGCACTTGCTCTGACAGCAACCTGATATCTACAGGTGCTACATTTTCGAGAGTCAAAGAGATTAACGCCAGCGAGTCAAACCCTTTGCTCTAGCTGAGAGGGATTAGGAGATAAGGTCCAACGCAGAGCTGATCGACAGACGTGATTATATTTTAAAAAAGCTAGGGATCATATCCTTGGTCGGCTGCCCGTCTGGATCAATTAACAAGTATACCTTATGTCATTTTACTTTTTTTGACCGATTCAGGGCAGTTTTGCGACAATGGTCTCGTATCATTAAATACAATAAAGTGCAACCGACGGTATTGAGGATGCCAAGTATATGGATTCGGACTGCAATGGGAATGTCGAAGGCTCATATGGGCCTGCGAATCATGCTCATAGTTTTGATAGTGTAAAAAACCGCTTGGGCTGAGAAATCTAGCGAAGAATTTAGGTTAAACTTGTCCAGAGCGGCACGCGCCATTCATTGGCCAAAAAATTAAAGTTTACAGTGTCACGTACTCCCCTTCAAGTGGAGTTTTCTGTGATAATGGAGCCAGAAGAATATATCCTCGCGATATCAAAATCGCAACGCATTTGATGATTGGGCGAATCAAATTTTCACGATCCGCGTGAATCCAAAGGCACTGAACAAAACCAGAACAAATCATCATTTGTTACAAAAAGATTTCAGCATCAAGCAAGTAAACTTCAGTTATATCGCCCGACAAGACAACAATCGAAATCCTATAATGATTCAGAATCTTCTCGGACATCGAGGGACCGCCATGGAAAGTGTATTATTGCCACAGATCCCAGTCACATCGCGAAAAAATCGAAGTGTCTTCGTCATGCCTGCAAAGAACATACTACTCGTAATCAGTGCGATAAAGCAGAGGTCGATAATGCGACCGTTTTCAGAGATCAAGGAACTTGTAAGGCCAATAGAAGTATGGCTAGCTCCTGGGCGAAAGAAAAGCTCAATCTCGTAAGAAATTGAGTTCTTGACACGATGTACCTACGACATATAAAGTCTTTTCAAAACGTTCTGTATGTATTGAGTAAAAGTTACGTTGGATAACCCACATGTGGCCATCTGAAGCTTCTACAGGGGCGTACCGGTGCTTGCATGATACAGATGAATAAGACGCAAGGTCTACCAATTTATCGCTTCATATAGAAAGGATTGATGTTGTAGCAAACGAAGTGAAGGCGAGAGTCCAAGTTATGTTTCGCTTATGGAAGTCGCTGTTTGAAGCCTATCAGCAGACTGACGAGTTTGATCGGATGCAAGAAATCCCTGGTTGCACAGAATCAAATAAAGCATTGACAGGATGAAAAAGATTACCATGGACAAGTATTTCAGCAGCTGCTTGGCAGCAAGAGAAATGTTTTCTGGCTTATGTTGATGATGTGTTTAAATGGAGTCAACAAGGTAATGGTGTGCGAGTAATGGTTCACACACATAAGCAACAAACTCGTGAAGACAACCAGAGGAATAGTTGTCTGATACCGTTTTTAACAGCCACGATCCATAAAGACTCCTGCTCTGGAGAATTGAGAAATACGATAGGCCAGATGAAGAAGAACAAAAATTTCAAGCGTCCTGCAATTCAACGAAAGCGAATCAGCTATGTTGAAGAGCGAGTCACTTTGAGCAGATATGTAGGCGTCGCAGTCTGCATAAGTAGATGGCGACAGCAAGATTGTGTGTTTTGTACGGCTTAAGAATCCATCAACTCTGTTTCATTGTAAGATTTCTTGCCGTTTGTGAAAAAAGCGAGATTTAGCAAATTGTTTGGTTGCTAAAGAAGCTTTCGACGAATGCGGATTCGCCTCAGGAATGGCAAGGTGAAACGGCCTGAAATGTTAATATTTGTCATTAAGCATGCTTATTCATACTCAAACAAAAAGCCGGGCGAGTTTTTGCGGAACATAGGCGTTCTTTTCAGAATGCATCACCTTCCATGACCAAATTAGTGTATCGTAATTTCATGGCGGTGACTAAAAGATCAAGTGGATACGATTAACAAAATTTTCATGCAGCGATAGAAGACTGGTCATAAGCGTGTGTTATGGGGCTCGTATCGACCTACAAATTTATTCATCAGACTTAGAACGAGCTTAACAATACTGAATTTCAGTCGCTCAACAAATCCCCCATTTTCCTGGATTTTTACTCTATTTCCTAAAAGCAGAATAAAACACTCTTAAATACACAATCATGTAATGGTGTCCTTTGAAGAGGATATAGTTAATTGTACAGGATATAATGGATATGCGAGCTCTACGAGAGGCGCTGTTCTTGCGAACGATCGCGGTTTTCACGTCAAACTAGGTCAGAGGCCAATGCAAGTAGATGTAATGACTCTTCGATTCATGACCCGACTCCTCCATCCTCATCCCTCATACGGCTAGATATACGGTAAAGCCATTCAATAAGGGAAATGAGTCTCTACGCTCAACCTTCCAATTGCACAAAAACGAGTTTTGTGCTCGTTTCTACAGCAAAAGCCGCGACACCCGCCCCACAACCCATAGCGACGTCCATCGTGAAACAAGTGAGCTGGTTCTTGGTTGAAAAGACCGGTTTGCTCTGCGAGTAAAAAAGTCTCAACAAGTCATGCCGATATCATCATGTCCTGATTGGTTTTTATAAAATTATAAGCTGCGCTCCGTGCCGGGGCAAACCACTTACGCGTTCATGCGTGTAGGCCTTCTGCTCACACCGAGAGCAAAATCGGCGTCCGATTGTTGCTCCACGAGCGGTTTCTGACCTCACAGGTTACAATTCGTCAAATGTGCTGCCCTCCAGGAGGGCTACTGAATGTGCCGTAGCGTATCGCACTCAGTACGCGAGCCGATGAGAAGACGACGAGAATTGTGCGACGTTCCATCTGTCTCATGCTACTATTTGCAGTTTACTGGGTGGTCAATCAAAGCATTCTTTCATGCTTGACATTGCAAAGTACAAAACATGACATGGATGCTGAGGCACCTCCAGTTCCTTCTGTTGTTAGCTGTGCATGTCGTCACGAAATAGCTATTACACTTTTCAAACAGGACTCACGCCAAGAACAAAACTGAAGTACACACCCTGGTGAAAACCCCCCGCTGTGACAGATAACTTTTTCTATTCTAAGCGGTAAATAAAGGTCGATGGTGTGTTAGCTCGTCCATGGCTACAATGCCAGAGCAGTCTTGACGGAACGGACCTAGAAATTTATGATTTTCGGAATGATGGCTCAACTTTACCGTGATAAAAGTTCTGGTCTACTTGCCAATTTGCTGATTGCTTTCTGTGAAAGTAGGTCATTCCTTGCTCATCATGCAACGCAGGTGGAGAAGGACTTCCCCGCAAGTGGCTTTCAGACGGTCGCTCGATTGTCGCGGCTTTTCTGACGCTCTTCACATGTCTGGGCTGTGACCAATACTGAGATGGACAAGTTTTAGATGCGCTCACTGAACTGAACCATCGCACTGCGTACCTAACACGGATTAGCACCGCGTCGCTGCTGTGAAACAGAAGGTAGATTGGCTACAGGGAATGGTAGACACGCTCTGTCGTCTTCTTCGGTGCGCTTCGTAACCGAATGGCTCGTAAGAGCAAAATTATGATGTGAATTTTTAGCCCAGATAGAACACAGGATTGTTTGCATCCGATTTGAGATGTTAAGTACAACATTCATTCCATTTTTCTGCGCTCTTTTCGATGTAATGTGGTCGCAGCTCAACTTTGTATACCACAGACAATGCATGTCAACGAAGGTTAACATTGTTTGAGATTTCATTTTTGTTAGATACCTCGATGTGATCAACTGCTTTGGCATCAAAATCTTGCTCTAAGACATCCTGGCTCCCATCCAACGCGTCAAGTACTCAACGCATGATGCTCAGTCCCATTATCCTCAAATCACTGATTTAGCTACGAGGTATTGCCAGTGACATCAGCGAGTCGGATTGGAACGAAATCGTCTCCCCAGCAAATGTAGAAGCCACGTCGTGGCGATACCATAATTTATACACTACTGCGTTTGCATTTTGAACGCAGTGCATCTACATACACGATAAGATCTTTTGTTTTCAACGCAAACGCAAATAGTGGAAGCAATCTGCTTCAGCATCGCAGTCTCTTAGCGCTTGGGATCGTATATTATCTTCGCTGCGTCATAGCTGCATTCTGTATGACCATTTGTCAACAGTGTAAATTATAAGCTTGAACAATTGGCCACTGGTCCGTACTCTTAACGGCTTTGAAAGTCGGCACCGAATTGGTGATCACTATCTCTCACCATTTTCCTTCGTGCTATGCATGATATAAAATTATAAGATTTCATTCGTAGGTACCACTAGCCGTGATGATGTATTTGTTACGGCAAATAAAGCAATAACGTGTCAAATTCCTAATCTAGGGTCAACACGAGTGATTGGTCACTTGTCACTCGTCCATAGTTTCTCCAACAATAGATTGAAGAATCGGTAGGGTACCCGAGGATCGTTATAACGCTTATCTTCGTTTCAAGGTAACCTCAACTTCAACCGTCGGGACACTTTATTATCCCGTCTTTCTTACTCTTCGATCTATAAAATTGCAACTGCCATCAATAACAAAATCATTCATGACTTATGATAAGCCCTTCCCCTCCTTCGATTCAACCGAATCGATTCGGTAGCTTCTCCATCTTGCAATTTCTTGCAAACGATAACGGTACAAGATAATAAAAGATTACGTCATAGATGCTTTGCTGCCTGTTAAACTACCCCCGCCACTCCATTTACGATTGAGTACCCTTCCCTGTCACAGGGATAAAATTCTTCACACGGGACTCATTGGCTTTGGTCATAAAATATTTTGACAACCATTTGCTTCTTCTCTTCACCGGCTCTGGCACAGAAGACACAAACTAATAGCTATATCTTTACGTCCCACCAGAGTTTCGCCCTTCGAAACGATATAGTATTGCGGTGTCATTCCCTGTCCGGGAGGAAAACCAAGCCATAACAAACAGTCGCTTTTTTCCGTCTCAATATGGCTACAACATATAGACCGCGAAAAACAATCACTTCTCTTTGTCTTATCCTGAAACTGCGCTTTTGCCTTTCGATTTTGCTCCAAGCACCTGAGAAATTGCTAGTCAGTCCGGTAATGCACTGCACGGGGAAATTGTTCACGCGCTAAAAGCGCTTCTTCTTCCTGACAGAGGTGTGTCCATTAGTCTTACAGTATCACAAGGAGAGAAGCACGTTGCATAGCACATTTTGTCTTCGAGTCGACACGTGGCTCGAGACACCTTCACACGCAAACAGAAAATTAAACTTTACTCGAAGAAAAACCTTTGTCATTTTCATTTATTATAAAAAACCAGTTTTGCATCCGCATTTTTACATATTTTCCACCTCAAGTATTACCTAATGTTTTCGACAGTCGCGTCGTGTGTGGTTGCACAGCGCATTTGATTCTTCCAGGTATTTCCACGCCTCACAAAGTCTAGGATGTTGATGCTAACGGTCGATATGAGTCCCGCCTCGTTAGAGAGAGTCACACCTATTATTGACAACGACCTTCAAGATATTCAGACGAAATTAATCCTTTTCAGTAAACCGCCTTTTGCCCACTAGAGCTCGACATTCTACTCGAGGAGCTCGTCGAACAACTGTGCATAGAAGCACACATATTTCTAGCTCACAGAAAGGTATCAAGAAGGAAAAAGGTAGTTTATATTCCCACAGATGTATCATCTGCGTATTCTACGATGACCCTTACCATACAGAAAATCTGATACTATTTTCTCAGCATATCAATGTGGCGCGTTCATTAGCTTCCGGTATCACAACCGGTCCTAGCGGCGCGGAAGCTGTACTTAACATCTAATGCAACATGTACCGCTTTCTCGAAAGAGATTAGGAAAGCTTAGAAGGTTTTGGTGCAAGTCATACTTCTTCAGACATTCTTCAGAATTATAGAAATAGTCACCGCCTCAAAAAATGGTAAGCCGCCCTTGCAGCAGTTGTAGCTTGTCGAGCGGGCCCGAGTCAATGGATCTCATACAGAGAAGTAGAAGGGAGAGCTCCGAGCGGCTAAGCAGCG